GGGGGGGTCTCATCCCAGGGCCTCCAAACGGGGCAAGTTGAAGGCTCGTGGACTTCAACTCCCAGGATCCCTCAGGTAACAGGGCTGGGGGAGGAATCCTGGGGGTGGTTGAAGGCCACAAGTCTTCCAGCTGCCAAGTGTGAAGACACCCCACCCCCCCACTCTAAGCAATGGGAACTAACCAAGGAGAGAAGCAACCTGGAGCTAAGGAGGAATTTCACACGAGTGAGGACGATGAACCAGGGGAACTACTTGCCACCAGAAGTCGTGAATGCTCCAACACTGGAAGATTTTAGAGAAGAGACTGGGCAACCATTTGTCTGACATTATATAGGGTTTCCTGCCTGAGCAGGGGGTTGGACTAGAAGACCTCCGAGGTCCCTTAAAAGTCTGTTATCCCTTCCTTCCTTCCTTCCTTCCTTCCTTATCACCAAAGGATTTTAAAAAGGGATTGGAAAAATATTAGTCTGGAAAGGCATAGCATCTCCTGCTTGAGCTGGGGTTGGACTCCAAGGTCCCTTCCAACTCTGTGATTCTGTTATCCTTCCTTCCTTCCTTCCTTCCTTCCTTCCTTCCTTCCTTCCTTCCTTCCTTCCTTCCTTCCTTCCTTCCTGCCTCCCTGCCTCCCTGCCTCCCTCCCTGCCTGCCTGCCTGCCTGCCTGCCTGCCTTTTCCCTTTCCTTTCCTTTCCTTCCCTTTCCCATCATTGGAGGTTTTTAAGAAAAGGCTGGACAGCCATTTGTCTGAAATGGAACAGGGTTTCCCGCTTCAGCAGGGGGTTGGACTAGAAGACCTCCAAGGCACCTCCCAAGCTCTGTCATTCTGTGGCCCTTAACCCCTTCTTCCCCCACAGGTGCCTTTGCCCGCCCTTTCCCCCACCATGCAGATGGGGACCATTGCGCGCTGGGAGAAGAAAGAGGGGGAGAAGATCAACGAGGGAGACCTGATTGCGGAGGTATTTGGGAAAGGGCAGAAGCCGGGTGCTTTCCCTGCCAGGCGGCTGGGCTGGCTGGGCATTTCGTCCTCGCTTGTCACCTTTCTGGATGAGCAACATGGCAGAGCAGAGCCTGCGTTTTTACTCGCCCGACACTTGTTTCTTACTCTTCGTGGCTGAAATGGGAAGTAGAACTCGGCCAGGATTGGTTCAGCAGTTGTGAAACGTATTTCAGGGGAAATTGTGTGTGTGTGTGTGTGTGTGTTAAAGGTAGAGACGGACAAAGCAACTGTGGGGTTTGAGAGCCTGGAAGAATGCTACTTGGCCAAGATCCTGGTTCCCGAAGGAACGCGGGATGTTCCCATCGGATTCATCATCTGCATCACCGTGGACAAGTGAGTCAGGCGGGGAAGGTTCCCAACAGCTCTCGCTTCCTTCGTTTAGATCAGAGGTCTCCAACCATGGCAACTTTAAGACTTGTGGACTTCAACTCCCAGAATTCTCCAACCAGCTATGTTATGCTATGCTATGCTGGCTGGAGAATTCTGGGAATTGAAGTCCACAAGTCTTAAAGTTGCCAAGTTTGGGGATCCCTGGTTTAGATGGGGATTCCAGTTTAAAACCCACCACCATTCCCTCCCTTTAAAGGTGCCCATCTTCCTATTCAGTTAATATTCTTTTTTCAACCTCAAAACATTTCCTGGATCTCAGGTGGTCTTGGGTCCCATCTTCAGGCTTGAGTGGGTTGCTGGTGGCAGGGTTAGAGAACAGCCACCCCTTGATTGTGGCTAAAAGATTCCTTCCTTCCTTTCAGGCCCGAACTTATTGGCGCCTTCAAGGATTATACTTTGGATTCAGCAGCTGCCGCCCCACCGGCTTCAGTGCCACCTCCGCCTCCTCCAGCAGCTCCCCCCAAACCAGCAGCTCAGCCATCCAGCCAAGCGCCAGGCAGCTCCTATCCTCCTCATATGCAGGTACGTCCCACTCCGCCTTTGCATTCTTTCCTCACCCACTTTTCTTATGGCACATTTTGGCTTCAGGCCCCCTCATCACCTCCAGTCTCTGTGCCTGCTGGGAGCCTTTTCAGAACCTCCATAACCGGCCTGCCATGAGCCTCGTTTGCTGAGGCAGCAAGAGATCACCTGGGCTGCCTAGATGGATCTGAAGGCCTAGTGGAAACAGAGTGAACGGTTCCATTGTCCAGGCACGGATGGGACTTCCAGGATCTCTGGAGTGACTTCGATTCTGGCTGTGGAAATTGAAACTCAGAATTTAAATGCGCTGGTTATATAATTAGAAAGTTCCTTTGCATAATGCTCATCTCTCTCTCTCTCTCTCTCTCTCTCTCTCTCTCTCCTTCAGAGGAATTTGCTATCCAGTTAAAATGCCCGCAGTGCATTTTACTTTATTTATTTTTTCACACAGGCGAGAATGGCAGATGTTGAGTAGCGGTAGTGCTGGATTTTGGAATGCATATCAGTGCAGGGCTGCTTTTTTCCTTCTCCTAGATTGCTCTTCCTGCCCTCTCTCCTACGATGACCATGGGCACTGTTCAGAGGTGGGAGAAGAAAGTTGGCGAGAAGCTGAGCGAAGGAGATTTATTGGCAGAAATTGAGACGGACAAAGCCACAATAGGTGAGAATTTCTCCATCCTCCGCAACAAAATCTGCCAGGACAATATATGAAGCGTTACTCAACAGCCTTGGAGGGTTAGATATTTGCCCCAAATAAAATAAGTTCCAGATTTCGTTTGTCTTGCGGGTGGCACCTCCATATTTTCCAGTTGAATGGAGGGCCCGCCAATGATTCTGTTGGAATGCCTGATGACTTATTCCGTCTCCAAGCTTGGTTCCCTTCCGCGCTGCTTATTTCTCTCTCCCCTTTGAAGGCTTTGAAGTGCAAGAAGAAGGTTACCTTGCGAAGATCTTGATAGCAGAAGGTACCAGAGATGTCCCCTTGGGAACCGCCCTCTGCATCATTGTGGAGAAGGAGTCCGACATTCCTGCTTTCGCAGACTACAGGGATGCTGGGATCGCCGATATCAAGCCTCCGGTGTCCCCACCGCCTCCGCCCCCAAGCCCCGTACGTCACGTGCCTCCAGGAGGCGGCCTGGGCAGGGGAAGCAAAGTGTGGGGGAGGCCCCGCTGATTTCTCAGAGCCCAGAGAGATTTCAGCTCCCGTTCCTCTCGGGAAAGAGAATTTCCTAGCTGGACGTGGCCTCTAGACCTCCCTCCCTCCCTCCCTTTCAGCTTCCTTCTTTATCTTTCCTGCCTTCCTAAAATTTATTGGTCACCCATCTTACCACAAGGTAACTCTGGGCAGCTTATAATAATAAAAGATTTATTATTAATAAAAGATTTATTTATATATATATTAAAACACAATACCCATAAATGCTATTTACGGAGGAAGTGCAGGACTGTTCCTACACCTTCTTTACCTAAAAAAAGAAATTCTCTTTGTAAAAACTGCCTAATAAAAAGGATGTTTGCCAGTTTAAAGAAAACATTTGTATTAGGGTGGGGTTGAAGCTTCTGTTGGGCGGCAGGGAGACTGAGAGAGAGATTGGACTGAATACATTTCACAAGCAGACTTTCGCTAGCCCTCGTGAGCTCAGACTATGTGTGAATACAGCCCTGCCAGACTAGTTACCATGTTGCCCTGAAAATAAGACCCTGTCTTATATATTTTGCCACCCAAAAAAAAGGTGCCAGGTCTTATTTTCAGAGATGTCCTCCACTGACTAACCTCACTTGTGCACATCGCCCCCGGCTTCCTTTTCGCTGTCAGGGGCCTTCAGGAACTTTCTGCGGCTGGCAAGGCCTTCCTGAAGGCCTCTGCATCCCATAACTGAGCTCTGGATCGATCCAGAGTTTTGTTCTCCGCTCCAGAAGCCTTCACGAAAGCCTGGCCAGCCTTGCCAGTTGCAGAAGAAATGGCAGGTGTTGGGGTGTGCCAGGCCTGGCTACAACTGTCCAAAGGTAAGGAGTAGGGCAGCTCCACCCTCCCAATCCCCACCCTAGTTTGATTTTTTTCCGGTCCACTCTGGAGTGGGCGGGATCTTAATTAGGTCTTATTTTGGGGGGGCTAGGGCTTATATTGGGTGCAGGTGTAAAATCAAGCTAGGACTCACTTTCAGGGTAGGTCGTATTTTCAGGGAAACGGGCTATATTGTGGACTAAAGAGGACTAATGCAACATCCTAGGTGTATGTCCAGCAGAGTCAATAAACGTGGGACGGTGGAGAATTCCCAAAACCATCTATCTTACAAACTTGGCTGTCTTTTTATTTCTTAAGGCGGCGGCTGTTTCAGCCCAACCTGCGGCCTCTCCGGTCCAGGCTCCTGCACATAAAGGGAGGATAGTAGCGAGCCCTCTGGCCCGGAAACTGGCCACAGAGAGAGGAATCGATCTCTTGCAGGTGAAAGGTGAGGCATCTTTTCCGAGGCCGCGTCAGCCGTCCCCCTAAAAAGGGTTTGGTTGCCTCTTGGGGTAAGAGAGATTTTGTTTTCCCTTGCACGTCTCATCAGGTACGGGGCCAGATGGGCGGATCACCAAGAAGGACATCGACTTGTTCGTGCCATCTAAAGTTGCCCCGGTGAGTAGCCAGGTTGGAGCAGGAGCTTTTCCGCAGAGGATCACCCAGGCCGGGATCTGATTTAGGAGGAAACGTCAAAAATGTACGTTTGCCTCGTATTCCTAGGGAAGGTTCTCCAGAAAAAAACATCAGCTTATAAGGGAGGAGATGGAATTAAGCTGCCTTAAGCTGATGGGTTTTTTTTGGAGAACCTTCCCTAGGAACACGAGGCAAGCATACATTTTTCACCTTGCTTTCCAAAGGCTACCAGGTAGAGTAATAACGCTAGTAAACCTGCCAAGGATTTGCTTCCTGTATTTCGGCTACTCAGCCTGCTTTGAGGAGGCGTGGGAACCCGTGAAGGTTTGCAAACGGCAAGACGAGACCTGGCTAGGGCAACGGTCGGTTGGCTTTTTCTCTGTCATTGCCACCATGGTGTCTTTTTTGGCTGCCCCTTCCCGAAATCTCCCCAGTTTCTTCTTCCTTTTCAACTGTACTGAGTTTCTTCGGCTGAAAGCTTTCCTTTTAAGCCCCAGGCCTGGCCTGTAGGGACCGGATGAAGCAAAGGGAAGAGTCAGAAGCATCTTGTCGAGTTGAGAAAATCAACAGCAGGGAGCAGACATGATATTATTCCGATAATAATATCGCGCGAGCGGCGGGCGGTCTCTTTTGGCCGGCCCCGATTTTTTTTTCAGAGGGGAATATCATGCCTGAGGGAGGGGGCTTGGCGGCAGCTTTAAAACTCTCCGGGAAAACCGTGGCGAATCCTAAGCTCTCCTTCCATTCCGCCAGCCGGCCTTTTGGTGCTCCTTCATTGGCGTGCTTGTATTCCCACAGGCCCAGCTGCCAGAAGCAGCCCCTCTGGCTGTGCCAGCTCCCACAGCTGCTCCCACAGCTGCTCCCACAGGTGTCTTCACGGATATTCCCATTAGTAATATTCGAAAGGTAAGTCAAAGCCCTTGGCGCATCGCATGCCACAGGCAAAAAGACAGATTGAACAGGGTTTAACCTTGGCCTCTGTTCGATGTGAATTGAAGCCCACCCATCTTACAATGGTCAAGGATTTAGGTTAGGTTAGATTAGGTAAGGATAGACAGACAGACAGATATAAAAGATAGATTAAATAGACAGCTATAATATAGATATAAAAGGTAGATATGATAGATATAAAAGATAGATGTAAAAGAGATATAAAAGATAGATATAAAAGAGATGATACAGACAGATGAGAGAGAGAGAAAAAAAGAAAGAAAAAGAAAAAGAAAGAAAGAAAGAAAGAAAAAGAAAGAAAGAAAGAAAGAAAGAAAGAAAGAAAGAAAGAAAGAAAGAAAGAAAGAAAGAAAGAAAAAGAAATGGGAACTTTCCTTTGGAGTTGCTGATGGGGGACATTTGCATTCAAATGTCCCTCTGGACAGAGAAAGTTGGAGTAAGAATTAGCTAGAAATGATTAGACAAAGCTGAGATCAGGGACCAAGTATTTGGAGGACATTGTGACTAATAGTTGGGGATCTGCTTTTCTGGATATTTGAACAATGGTGCACCAAAACTCCCAGCTTTAGTCTGGTCTACATTAAAGCAGTTAACTTCATTTTTAAGTAATGTTGCTGCCTTATGCGCATCCTGCTTTCTTTATTCTTAGGTGATTGCCCAGCGTTTGATGCAGTCTAAGCAAACGATACCTCACTATTATCTCTCGGTTGATGTCAACATGGGAGAAATATTGGTGCTGAGGAAAGAGCTCAACCAGGTAACTTAACGATTGTGGCTTATGCAGCTAACTGGATGTTTATGTGGTTCTGCCTCTCTATCCTTCCAATTAGCTGCGGATATTTCCTTAAGTTTGCATTTTTAGGATGTGGAGAATGTAAGGGAGATACTGTAATTCTTTCAGGGCTAATTCCACAGGAAAACACAAATTGTACCATTAGAAGGAGGTAACATTTAAATGTGATTAAATCAAATTAAACCTCTGAGCTTTAAAGTAAAGCAAAAGCATTTCTTTCCAGAACTTGGCTTTGAGAAAAATATGCGTGTTCCGTTTGGAAAGCATGGGAAGAGCAAGGTGTGGATGGAATCCCAGTTCCTTAGCTGGGTTATTCTGGCTGCACAACTGTTGTAGTGTTGATGGCAATGGGACGACACGCATCTGGCTGTTGGTTTTTTTGAATTAAATGCCTTTCTGATACATGGACTTCAGTTCCCAGAATTCTCCAGCCAGCTGGGGCAGTGCTGAAAAATCCTGGGAATTGAAGTCGGTTGTTTATGAAGGTTCTCCAGTTGGGAAGAGAATAATTCTTTGGTAACTTTGCTCACGGATCAATTTGACCAGCATTTCTTCCCTTGGCTGTTCCTCTCCAGGAGATGCCACAGAATACCAAGCTCTCAGTCAACGACTTCATTATCAAAGCTTCAGCTCTGGCATGTTTGAAGGTGCCTGAAGCGAATTCTTCATGGTTGGAAACGGTCATTAGGCAGTAAGTATGACAGATGGTCCAGGCAGGGGTGAAGGTTTGGCTCCTCCTAGAAGGCCAGTTAGACCACTGGAATTTCAAGCAGCATCTTGCCCTCTGGTTTTGTGAGTGGTTGCGGATTCTATCCCCAACGGGGACCCATTTTCTGTCTTTCAGAAATCACGTAGTTGATGTAAGCGTGGCGGTCAGTACGCCAGCAGGGCTTATAACGCCAATTGTGTTTAATGCACACACCAAGGGGTTGGCCTCCATTAACCAAGATGTCGTGACGTTAGCCAGCAAAGCGCGGGAAGGCAAGCTTCGGCCCCAGGAGTTCCAGGTGAGGCCCCTTCCCTGGACTACCTCTGCCTTTGGGTGGTTCAAAGGAGATGTTTTGTAGACCTGGTTACGACGCCTTTTGCCTTTCCTAGTTCACAACGCCCGTGATTTGCGCCACAGCCTTAAGGGGTGTGTCTGTCTCTTTGCAGGGAGGAACCTTCACCGTCTCCAATTTAGGAATGTATGGCATTAAGAACTTTTCGGCTATAATCAATCCACCGCAGGCTTGTATCTTGGCGGTTGGTGGCTCTGAGAAGAGGCTGGTGCCAGCAGACAATGAAAAAGGGTAAATGTTTTTCTTTTCTTTAAAAAAAAGAGTTTCAGTGGGAAAATCAGCATCTGATGAAAAGTGGCTTATAGAGAGCCATGGTGGTGCAGTGGTTAGAGTGCAGAACTGAAAGCTACTTCTACTGACTGTCAGCTGCCTGCAGTTTGGCAGTTCAAATCCCACAAGGCTCAAGGTTGACTCAGCCTTCCATCCTTCTGAGGTGGGTAAAATGAGGACCCAGATTGTTGGGGGCAAGAGGCTGATTCTGTAAACTGCTTAGAGAGGGTTGTAAAGCACTGTGAAGCGGTATATAAGTCTAAGGGCTATTGCTATTTCTTTTCTCTCTCTCTCTCTCTCTCTCTCTCTCTCTCTCTCTCTCTCTCTCTCTCTCTCTCTCTTTCTTTCTTTCTTTCTTTCTTTCTTTCTTTCTTTCTTTCCTACCTTCCTTCCTTCCTTCCTTTCCTTTCCTTTCCTTTCCCTCTCTCTCTCTTTTCCCTCTCTCTCTCCTTCCTTCTTTACTGGTTGGATTTCTATTCCTTCCTCCCTCCCTCCCTCCTAAAGATTCACTCAGCCTTCCAGTTTTCTGAGGTGGGTAAAATGAAGACCCAGGTTGTTGGGGGGCAAGAGGCTGGCTCTGTAAACCGCTTAGAGAGGGCTGTGAAGCAATGTGAAGCGGTATATATAAGTGTAAGGGCTATTGCTATTTCTTATTTTGGCTACGGGAAAATACTAAAGGTAGCATTTCCCCTCCCCCCTTCCCCACAGGTTCGATGTGGCCAGTGTCATGTCTGTGACGCTCAGCTGTGACCACCGTGTAGTGGATGGGGCCGTGGGGGCCCAGTGGCTCGCAGAGTTCAAGAAGTTCCTGGAAAAACCGGTCACGATGCTGCTATAATTTCTCAAGGACTTTGGCGACCTAATCGCTTCATTCTAAAGAAGCTATTTATATATCGAAGGGTTAGACTTTTAAAGAAAAAAAAAATGTTTCCTTCTTTTATTTTTTTAAAAAAGTCTATCTATAAACAGCGGCTGGTGATTTTTGAATGACCAGTTCAGAGAGATTTAAAGGTTCTGCAGGTGGCCTTCCGAAGCCAAGTGCAGCTACGCTATATCGTATTCAGTGGATGGATTTGCAAACTTTCCCCCAGTTGTGGAAAATAATCATGTGTTGTAATGCTTCTGATCACAACGGTGCAGGGTATCACAGCCTCCTCTGCCCCCTCCCCACCAGCTACCTGCCTCAGCCTTCATTTCCCATAAAACCAGGGATTTTAAGACGAAATAGGGGGGGGGGAGTGAACCGTAGATTTGGGAAAATTTAAATTTTCAGCAGAAAAAGGAATTAACCTTCCACGTGTGTTTTAAATACTGCAGGGGGGAAAAAAAACAGAGAAGATGCTATTACTTGGAATAGAACAGAGCAGCTGACATTTCAATTTTGCAAAATCCACTGTAATCAGACTTTCTAGCAACAGGGAATCCTTTTTGCAGGCTGCAAGAGAAAATGAATGCTCTCAAGTCAGAGCAGCTAAACTGAACAGCCCTTTGAAACCCTTCTGATGATTTTGCCTTTTGTGAGTTTCCGTAATTCGAGCATGTGTTGTTTTGCTTCCTGTTCAGGTCAGTAAAAGCTCTTTTACTCAGTTGTCAAGGGAACTGGTGGAACTGGACCAGTTAAAGATAGGAGTCCTTACAGGCTCCACCATAGGTTCCTTCCTCCCCCTCTTAATGATCTAGGCTGGGCAGACGGGGGCTAATGTCTTACCCAAAGGAATGTGAGGCCGCAGTTCTGCCATTTAATGCAGGAATGTGTGTGTGTGGGAGGGGACTTTTCTTCCTACCACGTTTGAGGGTGCAGTTTTGTGAAATGTCCCACCCCACACGGGAAGCTGCTGTTTCCCCAGCAAAATGGGCTGTCTTTAAGCATGAAGCACTCCAGAAATTCCCAAAATCAGCCCGTATTGCAACTGCCTCCAGCAGTCTTGCGTTTGAAATGGGACGCTGACCTCGGAGTAACTGAAACGAGAACTTTTGCACGGCGCTAATCGTATGAAAAGAAGGGGAAAAAAACTCCTGATGCCTTGTGATCAAGCGGCCCAACCAGATGTGGATTAGTTGTGCTTGAATTCCACAGAAATCAGTAGAATAATTAGGCATAACCACTTAAGCGTCCCAAGAAATCCAGAACCAACCTTTGCAGGATCTGACTGCTAACCTGGAACAGCTTGGCTTTCTTGTCCCGTTCCCCACACACACACCCAGGCTCAAGAGAAACAGAATGTCACAAGTCATAAATTTGTAAACATCTTTGCTGGAAATGAGATTTCTTCAGAACGGAGCCCAGCCACAGTTTTAATGGTGCCCTAGGTATACAGAGGCTCTCATGGGAAATGCCTCGCTTGCTTGCCGAGGGAAAAGCTCATTTTAAAAGGTGGATCATGTAATGGCTAAGTGGTGAGGCCCGAGCAGCTGAGTAGACCGATATACCCCTGTGTTAAGTTGTACGTCACCACTTCATTCAATATTGTCTCTTGTCAATTTGCGCTACTGAATCCACTACAAATATATATATACATGCAATTAAATATTTTTTTTCCTGAGAACCAATTTGTGGAGTTTGGTTGTAATTCAACCTGTGGTAAGAAAAGTGCTTTAAAACATCTTAATTTGGTTACAGATTGGCATTAAAAGTTTGATGTTCTTTGGACTGCTATTCCTTCTCCCGACTGCTAGTTTTTTTTTTGCTTAGTTGAGCGTAGACATTGAATGTAATTATTTGATGAGCAAAAAATGAATAAAGTGGGGTGACACTTCTTCGCAGCTCAAGCCTGGAAGGCCTTTGCTGTTAACTCTGGAGTCATTTTGAATATTTTTAGTGGTTCTTTTTTAAAATCCAAGTGAACCAAAAGGTAGGAAAGACTTCCTTTGCAATATTCAGCACTTGAACAAACCTTTTGCTAAGAAATCGTGTCCTTGTGTCCTCGGAGTAAAGCAAAAGTCAATATGGCAGCCGTAACCAGATCAAAGTTAGGCCCATTTTTATTTGAACACAACTCTAAACACACGGTTGCAGATGTAATCTTGAATGTTTTGTCCACATCTGCAGATACCACTTCTTTCTTTAAGCATTCTCTGAAGGTTGTGTTCATGTTAAAATGGCAAAACAATGCGGGAGGCTTAAAAGAACAAGTTGGCTTTGGATTCAAAAGTGTCCCACCCATACAGTATTTATTTCCCCTGATTCTCCAAGAAAATAAGCTGAGCTCTAAGACTACAGGAAGTTCTCAGAACTGTTAAAAATAATTTAAATCCAGCAATGATTGAGAACCATAGTTTTTTTTCCCCTTTATTGTTTTGGTTAATGGAGGAAACAAGATAACAGAGTTCATTTATTTGTTAATCTTTTACAGTAGAAACTATGCCTTCAGAACAACCCTCAAATGTTAAAGCGTGTATTTAGGGGTGCATTTTATCCTGGGTTTTTGCATCTCCAAAGGGCAGCAAGAATTTTAGCCTTAAACCTCAAGAGAAATAAAAAGCAGGCATGTAACCAACACACTTGTTACTAACCTGTGCAAAAGGCTGAATGGGAAGGGCTGGAAAGGAGAGGAAGTGAATCAAGAGAACGGGAGAGTATATTCCCACGCCGCATCAGCTAATGTCATTTCTCCTGGTACACGGGCATTCTGATGTGCAAGACTCCTTCCTTCTTATAAAAAGTGGCTGATGTTGCTTCTTCATCCACAGACGCTGGAAGATCCACCCGCAGTCTGTATTTTTCAAGGCACTCAACCAAGACATCATCCTGAAAAGAAGATGCAGGGAGGCACCTGAGATTCACAGGAATCTGCCTGGCAAAAGCGGGGGAGAAGGGAGCAAATAATACGCCATTTGTAGCTGCCCCTCACCTTAGACACGCTCAAATTACACTCGGACACACCGCAAACACCTGGCAATTCAATCTTCAGCTCCACTTCTAAGGGTTTATCATCTGCATCTTTCTTGGTGGTCATTTGGTAGGCAGGCTTAAGCCCCTCTGGCTTGTTTGTAGTGGAAATCTCTTCAATTAGACGCTTTTTGGAAGCTGCGGGGTTCTTTGCTGGTGGTAGAATAAGGCCACTGCTGTCTTCGGCCCTGAGGCTTCTCAGCTGGCTGAGGGTCACTTCTTGCCAAGAAGATTTTCAGACAGAAGAGTTTAGACAAGTAAGTGGAGTGCATTGCTACAGAACAAAAGCATCAGTTAAATTGCAATGGCACTTAGTATATCACTTCACAGTGTTTCACGCCCTCTCTGAGCAGTTTACAGAGTCAGCCTGTTGTCCCCAACAATCTGGGTCCTCATTTCACCAACCTCGGAAGGATGGAAGGCTGAGTCAACGAGAATTAAACTGCTGGCAGTCAGCAGAATTAGCCTGTAATACTGCATTCTAACAGGAAGGAAGGAAGGAAAGGAAGGAAGGAAGGAAGGAAAAGGCACTTAGACGTATATACTGCTTTACAATGCTTCACAGCCCTCTCTAAGCAGTTTACACAGTCAGCCCCTTGCCCCCCTCTCCCCTAACAATCTGGGTCTTCATTTTACCGACTTTGGAAGGATGGAAGGCTGAGTCAATCTTGAGCCACTGAGGACTGAACCCCTGGCTGTGGGTAGAGTTAGCCTGCAATACTGCCTTCTAACCACTGTGCCACCAGGGCTCCTGCCTCTTCTCCCATTTCCATTGTTTGCAGTGATGTACTTACAGTCCACTAAAATTAACTGATGAGAGAAATCTTAGCTGCTATAATTGTGCAGTTAATCGTATATTGGAATGCAACACACTTCTGTATGGTGTACAGGCACGCTTTTCAATGCGTGTCTGTAGAGAAAGCCATTCCCATCTATTTCAAATAAAGAGGACAACTCTTCAAATAATACTTGCCAAGTGGCAATGTTTTATATATATTTTTATAGATGTTTGTATTTTTTTACATTTCAATACCACCCTCTCATAAGGAGATAACTAGAAACAAATTCAGGAAATAAAAATATTTCCCAATATTATCAATTGTCAGGCAGTTTAAAAAGGATGTTTTTCAGTGCCTTATGAAAAGCTGGTGCAAAATACCTCTAGGAAGCAGCATATTCCTACAGTGGGGGCCCATGTCCTTCTTCTTCAGGGGATAAAATCCTCAGACGGTTCCCTTTAAAATACATAAAATGGGCGGGATAAGCCTTCCTCCCCGTCTTGAAGGCTACTTACCTTTGTTGGGATTCCTCTGGGACACAGTCAAGGGGGGCTGTTCTCTTCTCAGGCTCTCCCTCATCCTTTCAAGGCTTCCTTTCAATTTAAATTTTGCCACACTCCAGGATTGGGACAAAGTGACGTTGAAATGCTCCTCGGCGTACTTGAGTAACATGCGGATCAACAGATCCTTCTCCGGTGGGCTATCCTTGACTCGCTCAAGAACGGATGGATTGTAGGCCACGTCAAGGATGCTGCAGATCTCTGCAAGAAAAGCAAACACAGTTTATTCTGCCCTCAAATGTATCCTGGCTTGAGTTTACCACTCGACCAGCTGAATCATGTATGTTTCATTCCTGATATCCTATTGCTATCCATGCCCAATATGTCTTTTGAAGGGACAAAGCAATATAATTCCTCCAATCATCTTGTAGAAGTTACTGCAGTAGGCTCAGGTTACCTGAGATTTTGTAATGGAGATTACCTGAATTATCTGATAGCGTCTCCATTTTGCCAGCGCTCAACAGAATTGGCTCCGAGGGTGACTTGGGAGCTGGGATCCTACTCCAACTGCACAGATTTATGAACAGGCAGGTTTTGGTAGGTTCCTATGAGGAAAGCACAAAACAAAATAAAATAACCTTAAAAACATTACATGATTTATTAAAAGAGACACGTTCATTTAATTAACAATCGGATCTTCACTTCAAGCAATGTCTCTTACTGCTCTTTTTGACTGAAAAGATGATGGTGCATCTGGAATATTTTCACTGTCTTATCTATGCCTGATGCAAACAAAGAGACCACTTATCAAATGTACACCCTCTGTATTATTTTCAAGTCAAAAGAAGTCTATGGAAATTCTCAGTCCTCCAGGTCACAGTTGTCCCAAAAGTGCTTTTTTCAGGAGGCAACTAGAGTTTCTGGTTTTTCTTTGAAGATGTTTCGCTTCTCATCCAAGAAGATTCTTCAGCTCTGACTGGATGGTGGAGAAGGGAAAGATCTAAAAGGATGCAAATGACCAGCTGTCTGCAAGGAATATAAATCCTTCCATTCCCCTCCATCGTCCAGGGGTCCTCAAACTTGGCAATTTACTTGTGGACTTCAACTCCCAGAATTCTCCAGCCATCAAAGCTGGCTGGAGAATTCTGGGAGTTGAAGTCCACAAGTCTTAAAGTTGCCAAGTGTAGAGACCTCTGATCTAGTCAGAGCTGAAGAAGTTTCTTGGATGAGAAGCTAAATGTCTTTTTTTAAAAACCCCAGAAAATCAATTTGCCTCTTGAATAAGCACCTTTGGGACAAGTCAAAGGAAGGTTTGGCATTCCGCTAAGAGGAGAAACAGTATTTGACTCTTTATGTTTCTTTGTTGTTGCTCTCCTGAATGTTGTCATACCAAAATGCAGGTCTTCAGGCACAGACATGGCTCCGGGGGAGCATAATGCTGCTTTGCTTCCTTTAGTTGCTGTTGCATGAAGTGGCAATAACTTTTAGGGTTGTTCTCGGCCATGTCATCCAGCATCGTCCACAGCTGAGTTGCTTTGGTCAGCATCTCCTCAGAGCTGCACAGAGCTTCCATGGCTGTTCCTTAATGGCAAAAAGATGCTTCTGCCGTCCCAGACAAGTGAAACTATTTCAATCCGAAGGTCTTCGGTGATGCTGCAGGACCACTCTTGCTGGTATTAAACCTTAATTGGATAAAGAGAAAAACTTTTCAGAAGTTTGAACCTAGAAAGGCTTTCTTCATTAGCTCCTAACATCACTGGGTGGGCACGAATGAGTTTGGCTAGTCAGGTTGTGTTCTGGCAAGCTGCCTAGTCGAGTTAAAAACCCAGCTGGATTGTACAGAAATGGCAGCTTCATTTTTCCCTCGGCCTCTACTATACGTGGTACTACCGATAGTAAGAATGTCATGAAATAAAACACAAACGCCACCATTGATGCAACCATGATGGAAAAAGTGATCGAGGCCAGTCAGAGACAGCAGAATCCACTCGATCTGCCTCCAAAGGGGCAGCGATGGAGGGTTTCTGTTGAGGGGCTGCCCTCTTTCCCATCCAGCCAAGGTGCAGTGGGACAATGTTTTTTTTTTGGGGGGGGGGGCAATGCTTTTCAGTCTTGGCACCTTGAAGAGGGGAGAACTTCCAACAGAGCTGGCTGGGGGGTTCTGGGCATTGAGGTCCAGCCCTCTTAAAGGTGCCAAGGTGACCCGGAGCTTTGAAAGGCTTCCCTTGAGCATCATTCGGGGCTCCAGGTCTGGTGCCCCCCACTTGCCAGGGCTTTGTGCAGCCCCTGCCCCCTCCTGGCAGGGATGCGCCCGCGGGCCGCCTGTTGAAAAAGGAAAGGCGGAAACGGAAAGAAGCCCCGACTGGATGGGCTCTTTGGAGCCCTTTTCTCTGGCGGCCCCTGGGAGGCAAAGGGGACGTGAGACCCACACGGAGGACCCTCCATGCCCTCGCCCCAGCAGGGTGGGGTTGCCCTCCCAGGGTCTCGGCCCTGGAAGCGAAGGCCCACGAGCGGGGGGGACTTCCAACCCCATCATCCCCAGCCGAAGGTGCGGCAGGTGCGACGAACCCCACATTACCGGCGGGGCGCCCGGGTTAGGGCGACACGATTAAACCCCGCCCCTTGGCCGCCGTTGCCAGGCGGCCGCCAGTCGTCATGGCAACCCCGGAAACGGCCCTGCCGGAAGTGGCTCCGTGGCCTTCCGCCGGCCGGCTCGCTCGCTGGGCCGCGCTCGCGGGTTCCGGGCTAGCCACGGTGGCGGAGTGAGGCCAGGCCAGGCGGGCTCCCGTCCCGGGTCCGGCGCGGAGGGCGAGGGAAGTGGCGGCGGCGGCTGCCAGGCGGGGCCGGAGAGGCGGCCCCCCGTCCCCCCTCGGGTGTCCCGCCCGCCAACCCTGCGAGGTAGGTCAGAGCCGAAGCCCCCACGTCCGGCTCCGTCGCGCGGCGGCCCGCCAGGCTGGCTGGGGATCGTGGCGCCAAACCGGGCAGGGAGTCCCTCGGCTGGGCCTGCCCGCCTTCCGGAGGGTGGCCGAGAAGGGGCCTCCCTCGCCTGCCTGCCTTTCTTTCCCTTCCTTTGTGTTGCTTTCTTTCCTCCCTTTTTCTCTTCTTTTTTCCTTCTTCCCTCCTTTCCCCTTCTTTTCCTTTCTTCCTGTCCTTCCTTTCCTCCTCCCTCCTTTCCTCTCTTCCCTCTTCCCCATTCCTTCCTTCCTTCTCTCCTTTTTTCCTTCCTTCTGCCCTTCCCCTTCCTTTCTTCCTGGCCTTCTTCCTCTTCTCCATTCCTTCCTTTCCCTTCTTCCCTCCCTTTCTTCCTTTCCTTATTCCCTCTCTTTCCTCTTCCCCATTCCTTCCTTTCCTCTCTCCCTCTTTCCTTCCTTCCTCTCCTTTCCCTTCTTTTCCTGGCTTCCTGTCCTTCCCCTCTCCTCCCTTTCTTCCTTTCCTCTCCCCCATTCCTTCCTTCCTTCTCTTCCTCCTTTCCTTCCTTCCTCTCCTTTCCCTTCTTTTCCTGGCTTCCTGTCCTTCTTCCCTGTCCTTTATTTATTTTATTTATTATTTATTTTATTTATTTTGATCCGTCAATCGCTTACAAGATAATAGGTATAAGTATATACATAGTTATGAATACGTGAAATGGGTACGTATAAGAAAAATAAAACAATAGGACAGGGACGGTAGGCACGTTGGTGCGCTTATGCACACCTTCCTTTCCTCCTCCCTCCTTTCCTCCCTTCCTTATCTTTTCCTTGCTTCCTTCCCTCTCCTACCTCCTCTCCTCTTCTCTCCTTCCTCCCTCACCTCCCACTTTCCTTCCTTCCAGGGCATTTTTTTCGCCGCCTGGTTGGTGTGGAAACGATGTCCCGCGTCCCTTTGGGAAAAGTCCTTTTGCGGAATGTCATTCGCCACACAGACGCCCACAACAAGGTAAGGGGCCGGTTTCCTCCCCAGGGGTCCTGTACGCAGAGCAGCCTGGCTTTCCACCTTTCCCCCAGTGGCTTTATTTACTTATTTATTCATTTTGTTGCCTGTCTCAGATTCAGGAAGAGTCTGAAATGTGGAAAATACGCGAGATGGAGAAGCAGAGCCAAGAGATACACTGGGGCAAACAGGAGAGGACTCTTCTGAACAGCTCCAGGTGGGATTTCAACAAAGCCCCATTACTCCCAAACAGCTGGCAAGGCCTGCCTGCACCCTCTTCTTGCTTGGGTCTTCTCTGCGTTTGCTTCCCTTTGTGAGAGGCTGAAGGCTCAGAATAGGTTTATTGCCACTTTGAATGTATACTAATCGGCATGCATTAACAATTGAAATTCCGTTGCATGCAGCTCTTCCAAGGCTTTCCACTTCTTGGCCCTGCCTTGCGGTTCAAGCTAATTTGCCTGCTTGCTTTGTCCCCGAAAACAGAAGCGAGTCCGGCCATTTCAGCCCTCAAGCCTTAGTGAAACAGGGGAAGGGCAGAACTCCTCTTTTCCTAAAGACGGTACCTTTTAGAAAACAGTAGAGCCACAACAGTAGAGTGGGTCAAAAGGTGGCAGTCCTGCCTTAAGGGAAGAATGCCAAAGTTTAGGGAGAAGGTTTTTAGTTCAGCCAAAGTGGTGAAACTGGTCCCTTGGTTTATGCAGCTGGATAGTCTGCCGGATCACTGGGGGGCTGGGGAGGTCAGTGTGGTGGATCTTGTTTACGACTCCTCTGGCTGGAGCAGCTTTCCCCGCAAAGCTCACCAGCCCATCTCCCTTGGTCTCTGCAGCAGCAGGATGCGTAGCGATGGCTTTGATGAGGACAGCCAGCAGGCCTCCTGGAGGACAAGGAACATGCCGGTTATGGCAGTGACCCTTGAAGATGACCTTCGACACGCCCGCTATTGGAACAAGAAGCTCTACGAATGCGAAGCTAACATGCCTGACAGGTACTACTGTCCCATAAGTGGGAGGTTTGCAATTAAAAACTCCATGGGTATCATTAAGTGTTGTACCTGATGATTCTTGACGAATGTATCTTTTCTTTTTTGTACACTGAGAGCATTTGCACCAAGACAAATTCCTTGTGTGTCCAACCACACTTGGCCAATAAAGAATTCTTAAAAAAAAAAAAAAAAAAAAAGCAGGCCTTTCTTCCAGTGATTTTTCTGCATGAAGAGGCTCTGTGTAATCTTCACATGCTTATTCCCCCCCCCCTTTTTTTTTTACAGATGGGGTCACAGTGGCTACAAAGAGCTGTATCCAGAAGAATTTGATACAGACAGGTAAAAGCTTTAAAATACCAAAATCCTACATGGTTTCCTTTGGACATTAGAATAGTCCAGGCTTTAGATTCATGCATTCTGCCTCCATCAAAAAGTTTTGCTCCTATACCAAATATAATTTCCCCACTGCACTCTGGAGGAAAATTGGTTAGTTCCATTGATCCAAACTCTGGTTTATGGTTTTCACTAATTTAAATTTCTGCATAGAGCAGCATGTGAGTTCATGGACATTTTCTTATCTAGGCAAAGCCGTCTCTGAACCGTCTCTTTGATTACTAGGATAGCTTAAAAAATGCACCACAAATGGCTTGTCAAAGTTTACTTCACATCATTTCATCCAATAGGGTCCCCAGTTTTGAAAAAATGAACTGAAAGAAATGTCACCATGAAATGTTAATCGAGCTTAAGCATTTGCAGTCCTGGCTCCACTAAAATATTAGGAAAGTTTTTTTAAAAAACAACAACACAATTGTTGCTTTTGGCCAGTTTTTTTTTTTAACCTTTTCAGAGAAGGATCCCAGAAGTGAAACCCATCCTGGTTGTCATGCCCGTTGGAGTCTGACTCTGAGGGAGAGATGGAACAGCTGACAGGGAGTGGGAGTGTGGCTCTGGTGGTTATGGAGGAAACTGGGGAAGGGCACAGGCCAGATGGGCATTCAGAGGAAGGCCCAGGCCCACCCTCTCTTCATCCTAGGGCATGCAGGGCGGAGAGAATAAGGGAGAAACGTGAGTGGCATGGTTTACGGGGGAGGAAGGGGCCCTGATCCCCTTCATGAACTGTAGCTGTGAGGACTTAAGGACAAACTGCGCATGGCCCAGTGCTGGAAGCAAAGCGTGTATTATTCTTATCAGAGCTTATCTGTGTTTTGACTTCCTCCCAACCATGGTTGCTGTGTTATCTGGTAGAAGTCTGCAATTAATCATCCTTGGCTGCTGTAGTAATTCCTTCAGTGTGGTTTGTGTTGGGGTTTCTATTTCGAATTAACTTTACTTTGGGTGCAGACTGCATTTACTCCCTCCGTAAACTGTTTTCTTTAAGAGTTTGATTTCCAGCCGAGGATAATTGGACATTGGGGCCAAGTTGGAGGCATTAAAGGGACTTTATTCTATTTTTGTGACTTGGTTATTTTTGTGTCACGCCCCGGGTCATCACACTGGTTGTGTTTTGCAGTGACCGGGAACCCGACCGAGAACAAAACTCCGTGAACGGCAAAAGAAAATCCCAGTCGGGCAAGCCAAGCTCCGCGAAGCTGCACAAAAGGAAGAAGGCCAAGAAGTCGCACAAGAAGAAGCAGAAAAAGAAATCTCACAAGAAGAAGAAGAAGAAGAAACGCGAGGCGGGGGCGGCATCTTCCCAGGAGTCCGAGGGCTCGGAGGGGGAGCCCCCCAAGAGGAACAAGAAGAAGCGCCACAAGAAGGACAAGAGGGCCCCCGAGGGGCCTCCCGCCTCGTCCTCAGATCCAGGCAGCGGCTCCAGCAAAGCCAGCAGCTGCCTCTCCAGCCGCTCTGGGGACAGTGACTCAGAGGAGCCAGCCAGGAAGAGGCGGAAACGCCAGGCGTCCCTGTCCGAAAGAGCCGGAGACAGAGCGCCGGAGAAGCGCAGCAAGAGGAAGAACTGGAAAGTAGCAGCTGACGAGAACTCCGAGGACAGCTCAGAGGAGGATTAGAACCCGGCTCCAGGACAGCGCTTCCTCTCCCCACCTCCCCCCAAAGGCCCAGCTCTGCTCGGAACAAACTTGGATTTGGTTCCGCTGGCAGGGGCAGGGGGCGGTGCGAGTTTCCCTTGGACCAGAGAGGAAAACAAAAGGCTTGGATTCCTTTGGCCTGGCTTGGATTCTAGCTGGATAGTCCCTTTTGTTCCCCATCGGGATGGACCTTCCATTTTCTAATTTCTACTCTCAAAGGCAACCGGAACACTGGGTGGTTTAGTCCCCCCCTTTGCCTTTTGACAAAAATCACCTGGAGTTTAATTTTTATTTTTAATTGCCCAAGACTTGCAGATGGGTTGCAATTAAAAGCACGAGGGAGAGAGGGGAGGTGGTGTTCCCCAAGCAGGTAGGCAGGCCTCGCTCTCCACTTTGAACCGTGTCCTCAACTGTAGAGGTAAGGGGGCAAAGGCTGGCTCAGAATAAACCCAGACCCCACTGCAGCCTCAGGGTTGACTAAGTTGTCACCTTGTGAAGAAGCGCCTCTCCATACCTGGAAGAATGCAGGTCATCCTATCCATTCACGTGCCGTTGGGGGACTAGATCTCGTTTCGGCTGGCTGTGTCCTCTTCTTAAATTATCTCTTGCTGCCAGAAATTCCAGAGAAAATGCAGCGAGCCCTCGGCTTCTTGTAGCCATTAATAGGATGAGCAACAAGAGAGGATCTATCTTTGTGTACGGTGCCTAATTAAGAGCCATGTTAAGGGTGGGATTTTGTTTGTTTTTGGTAAAACTATTCATGGCTTTCTAATGCCAGTTAAGTAGCTGTGGAAGGAGGACTCACAAAAGAACATTCCCAGGAAAGAGCCCAAATCACACCTGTCTCCTACCTCCCCAGACAACTGCAGTTCTGCAAGAGAGACTGAAATATGGGGGAAGCCTTGAGATTAACAAAACAAAGAGATTTTGCTAAGTATGCCTTTACTCATCAAAAATATACTGAGCAGATTTGTTGAACCTAACACCTAGCAGTTCTCTGATGCTGGCCATCCCCAATTCCCCTTCACCAAGTTTTGGAAAATACTCACTTCAGCCTTCTGCCAGTTTTGTATTTAACACAGTTTTTCCTCCCCTGGTCTCCCCGCACAACGGTCTAACATAAAACGTCTGGACTGAATGACCCTGTTCTAAAATGTAGAAGAATAAGCTGGGCCTTTTTTTTTTTTCGTTCTTTGTGTACAGGGATATAAAAAGTATTTTTGGAAATAATTGTTGCTATGAGAAGCAAAGCCATTGAAGTTATTTCTATGAAAAATCATATTTTTATACATACAGAACACTGGCATGAGTTGATTTAAATGGTCTGCAGAAATAAACAGTGTTGACTTTAGCCAAAAATCAGGCCGCCTTTGACTACATTTCTGATTTGTGGTGTGGGAGCAAAGGTTCTTGGGTTGCACTTGAAGTGTGTCTGGTATAGAAAAAGACAAATCTAAGCTGATAAGAAATTCCACAGAGGCAAGGTTGGATTATTTCTATCTTTACTTTTCCAAAAGAGAGCATTTGGCTTGCTACTCTGAGTGAAAACAGCAGGTTCCTCTGCAGCTTTCTAGACCAAAGTGCTGTTGTGTGGATTTAGTTTGTGTGGTTAGTTGATGGTGCATTGTGCAAAGCCAGACAACCAGATTTATTCAAGAAACCATTTTTCATTTAATGATGGATGTTTTGTACAAACACCGCCGTATTTGGATAAAATAAATGTTTGATGGATCTCCCAGTAAAGGAGAATAAATTACATTTTTCTCGTACTGATATTAACGGCAGCTTCGGATCCAGCCAAATTGCTCTATGCACAACATTACTGGACTGAATCTTTACATCCCCTTGTGAAAAACGGAACTATTACACTCCTTTAATTGTATAAGTGAGCACGTTTAACACCATCTGGGTGCATTCACTCCTATTCTCCTGCCAGGGCAGGAAAGTAGCGCAGCACTGTCACAGTGAGTCCGCTTTTGCTGATTTGAGTCGGGCATTTCCTCCACCAAGTCCCCTTCCTTGGCAGTCGGGGAAAGGCCGCCTTCGGAAGGGCCCCCACCCCAGAGCTTGCTGGGGGCCCTGGTCAGTGGCCGCCCTTCTGCATGAGCTGTGCAAAGCGGTTGGTGACGGACAAGGTGGTGTCGATGAAGCGGTTGACGCAGTTGGCCAGGCAGGTCTCTGTCCGGGAGTCGAGCTTGGAGCCGGGCTTGTCCACGCACTTCTCCCAGCAGGCCTCCATGAAGGTGTGGACCTGGAAGGGGGGAGCCAAGCAAGGGGGGGCTCAGCCCCCAAGACCTCCTGTCTTCCCATCCTTCCTCAAGCCCCCCCAAGTTTGCCTGCCCCCTCCAGTCGTCGTGCCCCCTCCCCCATTCTGGCCCCCGTCTCCTTCCCCCTCTCCCATTCTAGCCCCCCCCATACCCTCCTGCCCCTCCCCCATATTGCCCCCCCAGGACCTCCTGCCCCTCCCCCATTCTTGTCCCCCCCCCCAGCCTTCCTGTCCCTTCCCCCCTCCTGCTCCCCTCCCCCTTCTGGGCCTCCCTCCCGCCCCAGGGAGGAGAAACGGGAGAAGGGTCTCTCTGCCGGCCAGCCTCTCCTCCTCCTCCTCCCCGGCGCACCTGGGCCGTGAGGCGCGCCCGCTGCTCCTCGGCCGCCACCATCCGCTGCAGCTCCGCCACCTCCGCCTCTTGGCCCAGCTCGGCCGCCATCAGGAGAAAAGGCGAAGAGACCTCGGCCGGAAGTCCCGCCTCCTCTGCTTCCGCTTCCGGCCGGTGCCCTTGCGCGGCGGGGGCAAGATGGCGGCGGCGCTGCGGCTGTGGCGGGCCGGGCTGGGCGGCCGTCCGGCGTCCGGTGAGTGGGGGATTCCCCCGAGGCCTCCCTTCCGAGGGAGGGCGCGCGGGGCCCGGACTCCAGGTCGGAAGGGCCCCCTGGGTCGCCGCTGCCTTTGCCCGCTTCCCTTCCTTCACGGCTGTCCTCCCGGCTGGGAAGCGCAGCGTCGCCCTTGAGCGGAGACACGCGTCCGGCGGCACGTGTGAATGGCTGCACGGGCCTTCCCTGTTTTAAATTTAAGACCCCCTCCCCCGGGCACAGCGGGGAAGCCTCTGAAACCCTGGGCAGGCGCCTTGCCTTGCCCAAAAAGGGGGAGGATGGACGTAGGGATGGGCGGGAGTGCTGGGACACCCGGGGGATTCGCCCTCGGTGCAGAAGCTCTCAGGGCGGACACAACAGCCCAGTGGATGGGTGTCACACATCCTCAGTCATACTCGCAATCATTAACCGCGTAAGATAACGGGGGATAAATCAGAAGGTGCCACTAGGAGAAGACAGCAGGAAAGAATGCCAGGAATCTGCCGGAAGTTTCTCTCGTGTGTGTGTGTGTGTGTGTACACACACACACACACACACACACGGTATCCATAGGGGGGGGGGGGGCGGAGAGAGAGAGAGACCACCTTGGCAAACAAAATCTTAGGTGCACTTTCCCATCAATTAGCCATGAGTGAAGAGGCCTACTCTGTGGCGTTGCAATGCTCCCAGCATCACTAAAAAACTGGAATTTGATGGATAGCACTACAGAGCACTGCACACCAGAACGACGACACAAGGAGAGTTTTTTCCCCGAAAGTCATCATCACTCTGCTAAACAAATAATTCCTTCAACACTGTCCAACTATTTACAAAGTCTGTACTACTATTTCTTATTAATCTACTCATCACTCCTTATCGCCCATCCCCTCCCACTTGTGACTGTATGACTGTAACTGTGTCTCTTGTATCCTTATGATTTATATTGACTGTTTCCTAGTATGATTTGATTGCTTATTGTACCCTTTGACTCTTATAAAGTGATGATTCTTGATTCTTGACGAATGTATCTTTTCTTTTATGTACACTGAGAGCATTTGCACCAAAGACAAATTCCTTGTGTGTCCAATCACATTGGCCAATAAAGAATTTATTCTATTCTATTCTATTCTATTCTCTCCTACTCTACTCTACTCTATTCTATTCTAATTTCTATTCTATTCTGTTCTATTCCTATTCTATTCTAGTTAGTTGCTTGCGCCCATTAATTTATGGGCTGCTTCACACATTTCACATTCAAGTGATGATAGACAGGTTGAGGGTCTATTTTTCTACACTGTGAATAGTCCTGAGTGGGCTTATTAGTGCTATCAAGGATGCTTGATGCTTCTGAACCTCATAGTTTCCATTTTAAAGTATGTTTCAGTATAGGTGAGTTGCTGTTTCTTCACTGCATTAGTGCTTGGTTTTTTTTATTTCTGCACTCTACAGCTCTGACAAAAGACTTTTTCTTAAAAAAATGAAGCATTGTGATTGTGTGTAATAGGCATTAGTGGGATCTGGAGATCAAAATGGCCTTATTTACAACATTGGATACCTCTATTCTGCTTGCAGTTGTCTTGCACAAGTATCTCTTGGCTAGACCAGTGGCTGCCTTGTTTAGACCAATTGAGGACTTTCATCATCATCATCAGATGCGCAAATTTCACACATCTCCCAGGAGTTTGGGTAAGGTCTGGGTTTGGGTAGTTCCTTTTCGTGTGTGTCTGCTTTGTGTCATGCTTAGTCTCATGATTCATTGACCCCTGTCTCAGAGGGTGGGAAAAGAAAGAGGAACTTTCTAAAACAACTTCACTGTTCTTTTCTGAACAATTTCCCTGAAGGTTATGGATTCCATCGATTCAATGAAAAAAATATATCACAATTTCCCATTCTTTGTGGCGAAAAGAAGTTATGCTTATGTCTCTTCTGTTTGAGTCATGGCTGCATTCAATTGAAAAATTGAATTCAAAATTGGTTTTGCTGCTTGGGATATTACAAGGTTGTAACGAGGTTGTAAATATATGCAACACTCTCCATCTCTTGTGATGTAATTGTTTAATGATTGGACAAGCAACGATATAGTTTCTCCAATTCTCGATTACTCTGGGTGGCTCACAGCAATCAAAGTACAATAAAACCAATAAAGGATTAAAGAAAGATAAAAGTGGTCCATGCAAATGAAGTTTTACTCTCGCCTGCCAAAGGCTGGGTTCAAGAACCCGGCCTTTGCATGTTTTCGAGCCAAGAGGAGAGCGGGAGCCATTTAGATCTTGGGGGAAGCTTGTGCCAGAGATTTAAACCTTTTGTCCAGCAGTGCTAAGCAAGGTGCCTTGGCTCACAGTATCGATTCTCAGAAATATCAAACGTTACTGTCTTTTACTGTAAAGAAATTTTAAAAAAGCAAGTTTCTACTCCTCATGACCGTGGAAATAGGTTTGGACCCCTACAGGAAAAGGCTTTGATATTCAGAAGGCCATGTTTCTTTGGAAGGCTGACCGCTGCCCTTTCCTGAGCTCCAATTAAGGTCCTTTACCAAAACGCTCTAGAGCAGAGATCTCCAACCTTGGCCACTTTAAGACTTATGGACTTCAACTCCCACAAGTCTTTTTTTTTTTTTTTTCAAATTTTTTTTTTTTTTTTTTCATTTTTAAAACATCTCTTTCAGTGAACAATGTGGTTCCAGGTTTTTACACTTCAATACAAACATGACCTTAATATATATTTATGCTTCACATTCAATTCTATATCATATCATTACTTCCATCTTCCCATGAATTTTCTCCAACATTCTTATTTTCTTTACACTTATTAAATCCATTTATATCTTAACTTAATTCCTCTTTCTTTAAATATTCTCACGTCTTGTTTTATAGTCTAATATTCTTATTTTTTTTCTAAATTCATTATACCATTATGCTTTTATCTGTCACATTTGCAATTTTGTCGCGTACTTCTTCAGTAAGTTTCATCTTAAATCTAATAATTCCAAAAGTTTCCCCCTTTAATTACCAATTAGAGCGTACCACCCCTTTGTCTTATATGTTCCTCAATTTGTTCCCCTTTAATCCATAATCAAAATTTATCATAATATAATCACTTTATAATTATCACATTCTGGTTTAATAACAATAATCTCCTAACTACTATATATCACATATGCATATATATGTATGTATGTATGTATGTATGTATGTATGTATGTATGGCATTCAGCTTTGTTCGGGTATTTTCCCACGTCATTATAGTTGT